GTGCCGCAATTGGACACAATTGATTAACATATACAAGTCAGATACCTTTAGCTGATAGAAGATTGGAAGAATAGTATATTGTTTGTTTTCCATTATTTCCTTATTCAAATGAAAAATATAACTGTTATCCATCACATCAAGCTACCAAATTTGAATTTCTATCTCTTGCGTGGGATTCGTAACGACTATATATTTCATTCTTATTCTTACAATAATGGGAAACAAACGCCCCCTTAGTCGATAGCATGTTGTTTAGATAACAATGCAAATTGATTTTCACTTATTACAATTTAGACTTTATGTTATGAGTTTTTGTAGTAATCCATATTTAATGTGTTTTATGAATGTTGGACAGTTTTTTCATATTCATTTATTTCATTTAATAAAACAACTATGTTCATTTTAAAGGACTGCAGTCATGTTCCCTTAAAAATGAAGAACGACTCCACTCATTCAAAATGACTAGAGTTGTTCTATAAGAAAACGACCAATAGTTCCTTTAAATGACTCCAACCGTTTCCATGAAAATAACTGTTACACGAATGAAATTGTTTTTTCAAATTCACATCTCGTTTTTTGATTATATGCTTGTTTGTCTGTACATTTTTGAATGAAATGGTTTGAAATCAAACCAAACACGATTTAAAATGTTATATATTATGATTTAGCTTATCCAAATCAATTGACTAACTACTAAGAATATTATGATTTAGTTTATCCAAATCAATTTGCATATCATCTTTTTATCTCGCATACTTAGAAATTAAATACGGTATACTTGAACATTGTTAGTGGAGCACGATGAATTGTATATAATGAAGTTCGTCTTCTTATTCATTTGAAATTATTAAGTCGAAATCAAACACGATCTATAATGTTAAAAGTTAGATTCTCACCTCATCTTGCATTATACATTATTGTAAGTCGCATACTTACAATCTAAATGAAGTTCGTTTTCTTATTCATTTTAACTAGTCCAGTTCAATCGTAAATTGTATACTTGAAAATCAAATACAGTATATACTTCAACAATGTGTAAGGAGTACAATGAATTGTATATAATAAAGTTCGGCAACCTATAAATTTCTAAAAGAAATAAATTATAAACAATTGGAGTCTTTTTAAACAACTCTAGTTCTTTAGGAAAACAACTAAAATCGTTTAAAAAGACTATAGTCATTTTAGAAAAATGGGTATAACCATTTTTACGAAACGACTACAATCTTTTCGTTTAAAAACGATTAAATCATTCTTTTAGGAAAAGACTGGAGTCTTTTAAACGACTCCAGCCATTTAGGAAAATGACATCAATCATTCTCTTTAAACAACTACAGTAAACAATCAATAATTTTGAAAAAAAAAAAATCAACATTATCTCTCTTGTAATATAAACTAAATCAACCAAAAATATATATATACATTGTTTACACTCATAACATACAAATACATCAAAATGTCTTATGGATCATAATTAGGGACAAAAATATCAATAGCCATCTTTTCTTTCCATCTATTCATATAGAAGCATTAACTTGTTCTATTAGACCGTTGATGCTCAGGAATTCTATATATTTTATTGAATAACTAAATGAATATAAACAAGTGAATATTTAATTGTAATTAAAAAACCTTACGAAATGGCTTATTTAGTGATCTTGGTATTCATTTCTATAGCAAGAGTATCTGTCTCCAAATCTATGTTGATTTCCTTTAAAAATAGTGGGACAATGATACTAGCAGCATTCAAGTCGTCTTTGAGTTGATCGCTCATAATGCAACCCTTATTAGGATCATAAACAAATATTGTCGCTTTGCAAAAGTCAATTTCAACTGCAAGCTAATGTTTGCGAGTACATAACAAAAAATATACATGTGTATATTCCTGCCATTTCCTTCCAAATGATGGCTTTGCCCCCGTGATATCTTCCATTAGCTCTATCGGCATTCTAAAACGATCTTCTTGCTCATGTAAATAAAATATAGCGGAGGTCAATTCATTATTAAATTACACGTCCAGAATAGCTCATGAACCACCATTATTGATCAGTCTCATTGGTAGAGGTCCTCAATGAGCAACAGACTTTAAGATGAATAATTGATAAACAAAATCCTTTTAACAACACTTGAGGTAACATATAGAGATAATTACTATATAGAAGATATATTGACTCATGGGTTGTCCAAGACTTTAGTAATATCCTGGGAATTATGTGTAATTGTTGACGTCCAATGACACGTTTCTTGGCAGCCCATTGATAGACAGCCTAGCTTGATACAAGTTTGTCATTCGAAGAATAACCTCAAACGCCCATCACTAAAAGAAGATGTATAAATTATTTGCAAATATTTAAAATCAAATAAAGATAATGTTAAAGTTA